GCCTGAGCGGCCGGCGCCGGGGGGAGGTGCGGAGGAGATCGGGGTGCCCTGGCCGCCGCGGCGGAGTTGTAACAAGAGCAGCCGAGTCCTCTCCGCGGGTCCCTGGGGTCCAGCCGTTGCTGTTCGGGACTCGTCTTTGCCTGTTGCATCTTGAAGGACGTTTGCTCAAATTGGTTTTTTTGATTTTTGTTTTGTTTTGTTTTGGGCCGGGTCCCGGAAGGAAGGTTTTGTTATGATCATAAAATTGGATTTCATATTGCAGTCAGGCAACTTCCGCCGTTGACCAATTTGTTGTCCTTAGGCTGGATTCGGGCAAGAGAAAGTCCCGACGATGCTAAACAACATCTAAAATAAAAGCACCTTTTCAGGTCGGGGAAATACTTTTTAATTAAGTTCTTTGCTCACCCCTCCACCCCCGGCAATTTGCTTGTCAAGGTTGTCCGCTCACGCATGAGGCAATGCTTTTTTGTAATATGGATGTGTTTCACATGTGTGAAACGTCGGTGAGTCATAATACTCATTTTTCAGTTCTTGAGGTGAATCTAAAGCACCTCCCTACTTCCTGCGAAAGATGTCTTACCTGAGTACGAGAGATTTCCCTTACATAATTTGGGCAGTTTTCTTCTTCCCAGAGTTTGATTTAGAGCTTGAAATCACTTCAAGGAACAAAAACCGAGCAGCTTATACAAATCATGCCTTCCAAGTTTGTGTGCATCGCTAGGGGTGCGTATGTCGTGGACATGGTGTCAATGTCCCTCCCTGAATTTAGGGAATAATTATACTATCATTTTTGCAATAGATCCTTTTTGTAAGATCAAGAAAAACTTAAAGATCTACATGGGTTCAAGATTAGCTAATCAAGCCTTTGCCATTGATGCAAACTTAGCCTCTTTTACCTTTTGTGCAAAATATCCAAGAATACATTTTAATTTAGTAAAGAAAGAAATCATTAATTAGAAAGGCTGCATTTAGAAAATAATTTTTCATATAGTAGTGGCTTTTAAAAGTTCAAACCTTTCCCACATGCGTTCAGAATTTCAGATTTTCTATTTTCATAATTCTTAAAGGGAGCTAGTGCTTCCCTTGAGACAAACACTAAGTCCTGTCTTTCTAAAGCATTTGATGGAATTGACTGTCATTTCACTGGTGTACGAGCTTCCAGAGTATTAAATCGACCTTCCTTCCGTGTGTAGACCAATCCTCTGAGAGAGAACAAAATGGAAAGTGTGCCAAGTGGTGATAATGAACTCTAGCCTGAATTAAAAGTGAAGGGGGAAATGCTTAGTAATTAGCTTTTCTTCTGCGCAGAAGTGTGCGTGCATTTACCAGGTAGGCCTGTACTTCTCTTGTTGGTTATGTGGTGCAACTATATATGTGTCCTTTATACTTTTTGGTAACAAATAGTATTGAAGTATGGGCAACTTTGACCCTGATAACCCTTTGTATATAAAGACAGATTTGGATTTTTAGGCTAGGTTAGAAACAAAACCAGGACTAGCATCCAATCCCAGTCCATTGCTTTAGTCCTCTTTGTGTATTCATTCATACATTGTGCTTGTCAGGTGTCATAAATAAACAGTTGTGGTATGTCCTTTACTTATGAAATAAATGTGTCAGAAAATTTGTCTTTGTGGTGAACTTAAGAAGCAATTTGTATTAATTTATTGCCATGCTGTTAAAGAATTGAAGTACATTCCCATGGAAAACTTTTTAAAAATATATATTTGGATGGGCCGGGGATTTAGTTCAGTGGTTCCAGCGCCTGCCTCGCAAGCACAAGGACCTGAGTTTGATCCCTGGTAC